TTTTCTACTGAATAATGACGCCAATGGTGGTGAAGACAACAACTCCCATGATCCCACACTGCTTCATCACACTGCGTCTTATTATTAGAAATTACAGAGAAATCGTACAAAGTTCGGTATATACAAAAGGGAATTATGTCCAGGTTTGTTTGCATGTAGAGCGGAGGAGTGACGTACCTGACAGGCTGCTGGCTTCAGACTCTTCGTAAGAAACTGAACAGCTCCTCTAAAGCAGCCCCTCGAGGATCAAGTCCTGTTGACCAGTTGGCCTACATTTGTGCCTTCCTTCTCAGTTTCCCTCCCTTGATCTCCTCTTGCCCTCTTTATTCCACTACCTGCTGTGCATCCTTGATCCTTCCTTCATCCTCTGTGCGTCTGAAATTGTGCTTCCTGAACCCTGAACATCACACGACGTTACATTCAAGGGAAGGCAGAATATATGAGCTTCTGGAAGAGAACATGAGCCTGTACGTGGTAAAACACACAGGTAGTCGAGTCCAGCATTTGATGTAGACCATTTAAGGTGGGGGAGCTGCTGGGCCACAATTACACACACACACACACACACACACACACCTACCTACATACACACAGGTATAAAAGCGGCCCATGTGTTTCTAGTCTTGCTCCCTATGGGCCACATGATACACTTCCCGTCTCAACAGGAAAACTCTGCTGTAAACCAGCTTCATTAGCCCACTGACCTGTGTGTGTGTGTGTGTGTGTGTGTGTGTGTGCAGGACCGACCCCCCTGCAGGATCCAATAAGCCGCAGCGCTCTACAGATGCTGCAGCAGCAAGTTCAACAGCAGATGAGGACCTGTTTGAAGACTTCTGACCCCGTTAGATAGAAAACACAGATTTATATCGATGAAGACGTTGTGTTTTTGTTCTAATTTAAGAGTCAGAAACTGACAGAGAAAAAACAGCTTCAGTTCTCTTCAGGTTCTCCGGGTTTGTGTAACTCTACTGGAGGGATTCAAATCATTCCTCTAAAATATGTTCTCTACTGTAGGTCTTCAACCAGCTAAAGGAGACATACAATCTCTGGATTCTTGAGTAACGCTAGAATCACAGAAATAAACTCTAAAACCTTCTAAATGATCTAGAACCATCCTAAGGACGGCTTGAGGTAACCCTAGCACATCTTAAAAAGTAAAAAGCCCCAAACTACCCTAAAATGGCTATAATCTCCTAAAAAACTGTAAGATCCACCTAAAGAAACCCAGGACATCCTAAATGATCATTAAAACCACCTGAAACAACCGTAGAACCTCCCAGAGGATGTCTAGAACCAACTAAAGGCACCATAGAACATCCTTAATGATCATTACAACAAACTAAGAATACTAAAGGACATTAAAAACTTCCTGAATCAGCTCCTAGAACATCTGAAAGTAAACTAAAAATCCTGAAGGAATCCTAGAACCACCTAACTGACGATCTGGTACCACAGTGAGGTTCTCCAGGTTCTCCTTTCAACCTGTCTGAGGTTCTACTGAATCATAACATGCTTTAAACACTGAGAAGAACTGTTTGCTTTTTTTAAATGTTCCTCTGAAATTAATTGTGATTTTTACAGATTTACAAATGTGTCATTTTTGATATTTGTACCAATAAAAAGTGTAAATGTGTTATTTTGTCAAACGAGGTTGTTTGTGTGTTTTTTTTATAGTAAATTATCTACTGAAACTAAAGGAAAGTGTGTGTTACATCAGTTTTAACCTCACTGGTTTTAAAGGCAGGGATGGTGTAAGTTGCATTATGGGAAATGTAGGACGCTGTATTAAGTATAATCACATATTTATATATTAGATTTTTTTTTAAATCCGCCTCGCAGGTCGTCCCGCCTTTATGGACGAGTGATAATAAATCTCTGGGGTGGCCCTTTAATGCCTCTCTCTCTCCTCCTCTCTCTCAGTGTCTCTCTCCCATTCTTTCACTCATCCCCCTCCTTTTCTTTCTCTTTCAGTCTCTTTCTCAGGCTTTCCCCAGTCTCACTTCCTCCCTCCTCTCTCCCTCTCTCTCTCTCTGCACTGGGCGGTGTATTATGGGGACAGAGGAGTGGGCGTGTCCTCCTCCTAATATGTGGATAATAGCGGGTGTAAAGTGGATTTGAACTTGCAGCCAGCGCTGAGAGGTGGAAGAGGTCCGACCAGCAGACATCTGCTGCTGCACAGAGTCAGAGCTCGTTCGGGAGGAAAAGTTTAAAGTCAGAAACACAAGACAAGTGGATTTTTTTGGGACTTTCAGGATTTACAAGGTAAGATTTAGATGGTTTTAAACCAGTTTCTTCAGATTAGTGCACAGAAATGTCTTTAAAAGGTGCTGTTTGAGGCAGATGTGATAGTTTTCTGGGCAGTTGATGCTGTGTGTGATGGGCAGGAATGTTCCCACACTGATAATGACAACAGACTAATTAGCTCCATTTACATCCTCTGACAGCTTTTAACTGGCTGATCTCTTGATAAGTTTTAACACCACAGCGGCTCTAATCTGCTGCTGCTTCCAGCTGTGATCACACATCTGCCTCTGCACCAGATCAGACTGTCACTCATCAGTGTTTCTACAAATACACTGTAAAACAACAGACCTTGATAAAAGTCGTTAACAGAAATATATCATAAGTCACTAATTCACAAGATTTAAACTCAAAATTAACTGTTAAAGCAACTCGGTTGTTGTGAGTGAACTTAAAGTTGTTTAGTATTTTAAATATTTGTGATATAATCAAAGTTTGTTTTACTGAAACCACCAGTTGAAGGAGATCGTAAACACTGTAAAACCTGATGAATTAGTTCAACTCAAACAGTATTTAGGTAACTTAATGTACCTGAGTTACCTTGGGTAACTTTTTACTTTTACAGTACAAATAAAAATTTCAAAATGAAGTCAGTGTCACTTGAAATTACTAAAGCAACTTGATCAGGAATGTTTTTTAACTTACAAAATTGAGTTTGTGCAACTTAAAATGTTCTAAATATCTTCATTTGTGGGCTTTTCCAAGCAAATTGATTGATATATGTGATTGATTATTGCTGCCACCCTCTGGCCACCCTGTGAATATTTCCCTAGCTCCGCCCCTGCAACCATCTAAAACCCAAAGATATTCACTATAAACGTTATTTTAACTCAACATTGTTTACAAAGTTTTGAGGAACACAAACCCAATTTTATGAGTCAAACATCCTGTCTTTCTTTAGATGTCGTTCAGATATTAGTTGACACTCTGGACTCCTTGAGTTTCATATAAATGATCAGCACAATGAACAATAATTACATAGATTCTTTCCTTTAAGATCCCCTCCAGAGATGAATTAAGAACAATAATAAAAGTATAATTTCCATATTCAAATCCTTAAAAAGTCGTTGACTCCGTCTGCCTCATTAAAAATCTTTAAATATGCGAATGTTGTTCATTAAGTTAAGATGTAAGGTCCTCAGTGTCGGTGCACTGATGGATCACACTGTGGAAATTACAGACTGGACCAGGACTAACTTCCTGAACTATTTGTGATGTCATAAATCCTGCTCGTAAGCCCTGCCCCTTAAAATCAGATGTTCAGTGAGATCAGAGAAACTTTCCACTTTCAGCAGATGAACTCCAAACGTCACAATGATCCTCGCTGGTCTTTGTTAGTGAATTATGTTATTTTACATTAAACATGTAAAAATACAGAATAAACAGTTTAACCATCAGCTGATATTTGTTTATGGGGTTTTTTTACAGATTGTGTTGAGATGATTTCACGTGTTCACTTCACACTCCTGCTCTGCCTGGTGTGTGTGTGTTCAGCTCGTCCTCAACCAGGTGAGTCAATCCTCTCTCTGTCTCTCTCTCTCTGTTTGTCTCTCTGTCTGTCTATCTCTCTCTGTCTCACTCTCTCCGAGCCAAACTGCAGGTCCAGGTAGGCTTTCCAGTAATCTGACACATAGACACATCTAAATATCACAATACTTGACTCTGGCGCCCCCTGTGGACAAAAGTGATATTGTTTATGTCCGACCCGGTGGCATTAAGAATATAGAAAGATAAGTGTTGTTTGTTTATGTGAATCATATAGTGTGTAATTTCTACTACTAGGGGGTTTCGTTCAATCATTAAAACAATAACAGAGGAAGTTCAATGAGGTGGTGAAGCACCGTGGGATCATGGGAGTTGTTGCCTTCACCACCATTGGCAACATTGCAGTCAGCTTCTCCCGGTTAGGATTCCTTCAGTCAAAAAACACTAAAAACACTGAATAAAGCAGTT